ATCTGGCACCTCTGTTTCCGAGAATGTTCGTCCTACAGCGAATCTATAGCGGGAGTCTACTGTAATTCGATTCGCTTCGATTCGAATGAAAATTCGTTAATTCGATTCGATTCGATTCGACATAAAAAATCTTTGATTCGCACATCTCTAGTGTCCTTTTTATCGTACGGCGAACGAGAAAAACGCCGATAAAGCGGACGTTTTTTCACTAGAGTTCCGGCTTCGAGAATCGGTAGAAAGTGAAATTAATTACGTCGACAACGACGCGTGACCGACTCGTCGTCGTTGTCGTCGTCGTCGTCGTCGTCGTCGTCATCTCTCGCTTCTCTCGGGCGGTTTTTTCTCGTCTGGAAAAACTCTTAGCGAAAACTCGGCGAGGACACGAAGAGAGAGACAATAGTTTCGCCGTTCTGCGGAGCGCGGAAATAAGTTGGAAATAAGCCTGAGTAATAATTTCTAGGAGATCGACGCGGAGAGTTTCCGAAGGAGAGCAAACGCGCGCTGCCGGCAACGAGGAAAAGCGACTTGAGAACACAAGTTCGTTTTTGTGCCGCCAGTTAATTAAAATAACGATGAATTAATCACGTCTACGAACGTTGCAAACACGCTCGTATTTAAAGATAGTACTTAACGTTAATATTTAATAAGACGCTGCTTAGAGTCAGAAGATTTGTTTTGAAGATTTTTAACAAATCGATTTTGCACTTTACAGATTGGTATCAATCCCGGATTGTTCGCGGCTTACAAGGGACATCACTACGCCGGACCTGGGAATCACTTCTGTGAGTTATATATTTTCATTTTATTATTCTTACGGCACGATCAATTTGATTTGGCTCGTTTCAACGAGGGAATCGTGTTAAAATCGAAATAAGAACGTTAATTGGTAAAATAATAGTGTTTTCCAAGATATAATTAAGTTAATAATTTATTATTATACTCAATCAATGTGTATTACCGCAATCAATTATGCTAATCTCGCTCATTTAAAAATTCACCGTTTAAAATTTACATTTTAAATAAAAGTAATAAAGGAAATTACGATAATCGATAGAAAAATACAGAGAAGGCGAGAAAGAGAGAGAGAGAGAGAGAGAGAGAGAGAGAGAGAGAGAGAGAGCGATAAGCTGCGAAGTTATGCAATAATAAATGGGACGAAGAGAAAAGGGACTCGCTGACAGTGGCACTACTCACGGGCATGAATTCGCAATTCGAATTCCGAACATCCGTATAAACGAGTGCCAATGTGTCCGACAATCGCGGCGCTAACAAACCCACACCACCATTACCATAGTCTTGCAAGCGAGAACCTTGCCTTTGCGTCTCCAAGTTTCCGCATAAAATTGCATAACGTTATATACTAACGGCGGCCCCCGGGAAAATCGAGTGCGCGCTTTGCGCGCGATCGCCTGGTCTTATAGGCGCGCGCCTCTCAAGGAGAGTAATTATCAAGTTGACAAAAAAATCCGGCGAGAAAAAAACAAAAGAAGAAGGCGCGCGGGAACAACAACATCTCGTTTGCTATTTTTGTTTTTATTTTTATTTAGTTTTATTTTTTTATTTTTTTTTTTTGTATTAAAGCCCGAATCTCTCGAAAGAGCCGAACACGAATCGGGTTCTCTCGATAATAGAAATGGAAATTTAGCGGATTGAATTTTTTTACGCTGATTAATGTACAATCGGAATTGTGCGAAATACGCGATTCAGGGTTCACGGAAAAGTACACAAAAACTGTCCCTGACGAACACGGTGAAATTATTCGAATTATTCGACGAGAGAGAGAGACAGAGAGAAAGAGAGAGTCCCGCGAATACCCCCATATAACCCGATCGAGCCCTCATCTCGCGCTTTTTTCCGCGCCGCGAGACCAGTGATCTGAAATCGCGAAACCCTCGTGCATCGATGAGCACACAACGAGTGCTGCAACGCGCATAAATCACCCACGGCATAAAACCTACAGCATTATACAGTTATAATACACACAGTATGTGTCCCATGTACAAGCGCCGTGTGTTTATTTTTCCCATATGTATAACATACACACTTGTTCGCCGTACGTGTAACATATATATTTTAATGCGATTTATATGCGACGTGGTGAACAATTATGAAAATGTACGTTTGAAAAAATCCGTTGATTTCACAATTGTTCTATTGAAAAATAAGCGGTAATCAGTTGAAGAAATATCTTCGTATAACATACAGTAAAAAAAAAAAAAAAAAAGAAGAAACGTAATAAATAAATCATAATATAAAACTTGTGCCTCTCGACGTAGAGAAATAATCACAACTCGTTAACTCGAATGTCTAATCATCTCTCTCGAAGATAACGGGCCCCGATAAGAAGACGATTCTGATAAAGTCTTGTTCCACTTTTCTTGAGCTCGTGCGCAACTGAACGTCAGCCGAATAACAATCATCCCGGGTCTCTATCTTGGATGCAAACTGCCGAAGCACACGCACGAAGCAAAAGCACGTGCGTATTAATGCGCCCCCATGCACACGACGTATCGCTGTCGGGGCGGCGGGGCCCCCCTCGCGATTTACGTGTGCGACTGCACGAGTCCCGCGCGCGCTTATCAGCGGTGAGCTCGCGCGCTGTACGCATACAACATGCTTAATGTAACGTAGCGTAATATATAATATAAACGCGCGGCTACCTGCAGGTTTACGCGCCCGATTATTGCACTGCCATAATAGCCAGGAGGCGTTTGCTTTCGTCCGAGTGTACCGCGATCAAATATTTGCCCGCGCAGCAACGACACAATGATAATATAAGATATCGGGGAGCAGAGAGGAAAACGTAAGTAAACGACCCGTTGTTTTACGCAACAGGCGCGGAAATTTATTAATTACAATTCGTTGTTATTTTATTTTGTTTGCGCTGGATTGAAAGGCGAAACGTCGAGGAGCTCGAACGCGCGTTGCGCGCGTTTTGTCACGAACTAGAATACGCACGAGTTTCTTTCGCTGTGCGTTCCAATAACACATTATCATTTAAATTGGTTTTTTTTCTCTCCCATCTATCGCCTGGGGAAGAATATTCTGCGCGGTTTTTCACCTTAATTTTATGAACTCTCTTGCAATATTTCACGAAATTTTCCGGATTTACTTCGCGTTTTCCCGAACTTCTAACAAGCCCGATAATCCCGGGGATGAGCCAACTCGCTTTGACTCGCGCGGTGAAACGCACACGGGTGCAAATTCATGCGCGCGTTCACGTCGGTCAGGTTTTTATGCACGCAACCTCCTGTGCGAGCACATCGGCGCACGCGCGATTATCCTCCGTGCACGCGCGCGCGCGCGCGCGCGTGTACCCGCTTGGGCTTTAAATAAACAATTTTCGCGCTAACAGTCTGGCCGATGCCTATTGCATACGCATGCCTCCCGTGACGCTTATGTACACGCACTTGTACGCAACGTCGCACATAGAGGGTGTCGGAAAACTCGCGCTTGTCTCTTGCACAATCTAAGAAAGTTGAACAATTTCTGCGCTTAGAAAAGTTTTTAGTGCGTGTGTTCGTTGTTTCGATATGTCCGCGAAGTTTTTCTAAACTTGAGACAAATGTTACTTATAAAGAGACAAGTTGTTACTTAAAACATTTTTCCGATCAGCTTTTCTTACGATGTGTCTGCATAGTTTCGTGACGAAAACGATATATAAGAAACATGCAGATAAGGAGAGAAAGGAAGAAAGCGGTGATGGTTGAGGACACCCGGTAGCTGCAACCCCTGTTTGCGTGTGTCACGGGCTCACGCGCGCGTGTGGCATACATATATATACATGCATACACGCGTACATAAGTACATACACACGCACACAGACATACACGCCACGGTGAAGTTAGGTGCACGCCGCTGGATTTTCCAGGGTTTTCCCAGGGTTGCGGTAGAGCGTTGAACCGGGCGGAGGGTGGTCGACGTGTAAGGGTGGAAGGGAGAGCAGCAGCGAACGAGCGGATGGTGGTGGTTGAGGCGGGCGACGGTACGGGGAGGATTGGTGAGAGGATGAGGAGGTGGAGGCGAGCGTAGGGAAGGGGCCGCCGAGGGAGAGAGCGAGATGGACGGACGGAAAGGACGAGAGGGAGTAGTGCGCTACGTGAGGGAGGGAGGAGGAACTATAATGAGTGGTGCGCGCGAGGGAAAGCGCGGGATAAAAAGGGAGATAGGGGGTGGCAAGAGAGGCGTGGAGGGCAGCTTGGGCGCAACGGGGGAAAAAGCAGGGTTGGTACAGGGGTAAAAAGGTTGGAAGCTGTGGCAACTGCCGCGGCGGCGGTGGTGGCGGTGGCGGAGGCGACGGAGGGGTAACTCCGGCTCGCTGCGGACGGCAGAAGAGGGTAGGGACGGAGGAGAGGCGCGGGGGTTGGATCGAGCACGACGGGTCAATTTGAGTATCCGGGGGAGCATGGGGATGAGAGGGGTTGGGCGGGCATGCGGACGCATGGTCCAGGGGGGCCTAAAGGCAGTAAACGTCGAAAAATCCGACCGCGTTCGGGCCGTTCGATGGCTCGGAAGAGGGTCGAAGCCGCGATCGACCATTACAACGCGCGAGAGTCGAGTATCGCGCGTCGTGCACCGGTGGTGCGCCGCGCGGTGTAACGTCGAGAGACCGCATACCGGGGATAGGGGCGAAACACACGCGGGAAGAGAAAGAGAGAGAGAGAGAGAGAGAGAGAGAGAGAGAGAGAGAGAGAGCGCGCAGGGAGAGCGACAGAGGGAGAATGCGAGAGCGAGAGAGGCCGCGTCGGGAGAAAGAGAGAGACGCGGCTCTTTTCCGTAATTTCGGGGTGAGCCGGTAGGGTCGATTAACGGGGCCGTGATTCACCCGTTAGATCGGTAAGGAGGAAGTACGCTCGCACATTCGCTCGCTCGCTCGCGCATCGCGGCTCCCGCGATCGCGCTTCGATCCGCCTTTCTTAATCCTCTCGCGGTGAAGCAGTGAAGCAGTACCTACGCGGGTAATATAAGTGTATCTTCACCCTGTTGATCTTTGGTGGTGATTTTTTTGTCGGGTGCTGGAAACTCTTTCTCTGTCGTGCGAGTGAAAACTTTGCAGCTCCGTCATCATTTCTGTGAAACTGCCCGACAAATTGCACGCGCTCGGCCGGGCGCGCATAATGCAACAACTCGCCACGGATGTATAACGCACGCATAGTTCTTCGACAAATTACAATCATGTGAGAGAAGTATATATTCGTATATGCACCTGTCTCTCTTCCTCCTTCCTTCAAGTCTAAAGCGAACTCCTTCAAGTCTACGTGACACAGATTCGCGGCGCGACACGACACACACAGAGAGAAAGAGAGAGAGAGAGAGAGAGAGAGAGAGAGACCGAGTTCCGTGTTTGAATGATTCAACGACGGGTAAATTAGTTGAATCGTAATTAGGATTTAAAGTTCGCGCGAAGTTCGCGGAATCATAATTACGATTGCATCGTTTATTCATGTACATATGCTTGACGAGTTTATTCATAATTCTAGCCTCGCTTCTCCCCTTTTCGCAAATTTTTTATTTATTTTTTTTTTTTATCGTTCCCCTGCTCTTCTTATAGCACGTCGCTGTGTGATACGTTAAGCGTGAACTAGTTTTCGCGGCATTCAAATTCAAATGCACTCGGCTCGTTTCATGCTGGCGAATCTGTTACACGCATTTGCTCGGTTCAACACCAATGTGCTGTATTTTACAATGCGTTATAATCATGTTACCGCAACGTTGCAGCTAGATAACGCATCGTGAAATGCCCGTTCGCGGAGATACACATGATATTATCTTGTAATATACA